TGAGTGTGTGAACCTGGCGTTACGTTTGTATGCCCGCCCAGTCTGTTCTGTTCTCGTGTTCCATTTAGGCGCACTGCATTCTGATTGGTTCGGATAGCATACTGCAGGAGGTCGGGGACGCGGAAAATCGTGCTACAAAGCGATTTAGAAATCACGCAAGCTCAAATCGCGATTTTATGACTATTTCGATTAATCGCACAGCCCTAGTGCTGAGCCTCTTTCACACAGTCTGTTCTCTTGCTCTCTTCAGAATTCTCCTTTAAATTTATTATGACACCACAGCATAAAGTTTAAGATAAGGATTTTTTGTTTTTTGTTTTCATTCTATAGTCATTTTTAAAGAACATTAATTTTTTGATTAAAATGATCCCTCTGTGTGTGTATCTTTGTATATATTTTTAACACTACTGTTCAAAAGTGTTTTTGAAAGAAGTCTCTTATGCTCACCATTTATTTGATCAAAATATGCTCCCTAACAGTCGACTAACCGTTAGTCAACTAGAAGAGGCTTGGTCAACTAAATTTTCCATTAGTTGGTTAGTCGAAGGAAAAAAGAATTCCACAAGAAGTGACGAAGTCACACAGTCAGTGGCGGAAAGTTCGTTAACATGGCTTGCCTGGCTGATCCATGTAAATATGTCAGGGAGAAAATCAAAAGTGTGGGATCATTTTGAAATGATAAAGGGCGACCCCAAAAAGATTGCCTGCAAAATCTTTGTCTATCATTCATGAACATCGAGCATGTCTTATTTAAAACATGTACAGTAAGTACTAGTCAAACATTAGCCACTTGACATGGCTGCTCGTTTTAACTTTAAGGTTAACTTAGATAAATGTGCGCTATTACTTTGCATTATACAAATATCCGTGCAGAGTGTGGAAGTTAAATCATACTGACATATTTAACTTAATGTGCATTTCTTCATTGCACTCCATACGTTCCACTTCCATGCCATCAGAGCGCATTTTCTCCGAAGGCGGTCACACAGCAGACGAGAAGCACAGCGCCACGTCTGGGATGACTCACTGGACACGTCAAGTGGCGTCACCTGTGTGTACACTCATAGAAAACAATGTGTTCGAATTTTAAAGACGTGGCATGTCTTGTCCGTGGTGCTTCTTTGTGAGCAAGACACAGAACTCACTTCTTCCCAACATCTTGGACAAACTTGTTCCTTTCTCATAATATGAGAAAAATGAGATCGGAGGGAAAAAATAGTGACATTCAGTGACAGTAGGGTTGTGCCGTTAGACGATAGTATCGTGTATCGACG